GGGAAAAACTCGGGAATTCTTTGGGAAAAACTCGGGAATTCTTTGGGAAAAACTCGGGAATTCTCCGGGGAAATCTCGGGAATTCTCCGGGAAAAACTCGGGAATTCTCCGGGAAATCTCTGGGAATTTGGAGGTTTTTTTTGGGATATTTCACCCCTAACTCTGGGGGGTTCTGGTGCCATTTTCCCCCCGATTTTGGGATTTTTTGGGGAGATGTTTCCCCCCTCGTTTCGGTGTTTTTTGGGGTTGTTTTCTCCCCAGCTCTGGGGAGATTTTCCCCGTGCTTTTGGTGGGTTTTGGTGCTGGTTTTTCCCCAATTCCAGGGATAATTCCCCCCTGATTTTGGGATTCTTCTTGTGATATTTTCTCCCCTGATTCTGATGTTTTTTGGGGCTGTATTTTCCCCAAATCTGGGGATATTGTCAACCTAATTTTGGGAATTTTTTTGGTGCCATTTCCCCCCAATTTGGAATTTTTTTTTTGGCGCCATTTCCCCCCTAATTTGGGATTTTTTTCAGCCGTTTCTCCCCTAATTTGGGATTTTTTTGGTCCCGTTCTCTCCTAATTTGGGATTTTTTTTTGTGCCATTTCCCCCCTAATTTGTGATTTTTTTGAGATATTTCCCCCCTACTTTTGGGATTTTTTTGGTGCCGTTTCCCCCTTAATTTTGGATATTTTTGGTCCTATTTCCCCCCTAATTCTGGTATTTTTCGGTGCCGTTTCCCCCCAGCCTGGGCAGAGAAGAGGGGCTACAAGACGGCGCGGGCGGCTCGTAACGACGTGGCCCGAGCGGCCAACGGGATCCTGCGGCTCGCGGCCGAGGGGCGGATCCGGCTCTGCCTCACCCCCCCGGGCTTCACCCGCCAAAAAGGTGCCAAAAACCCCCAAAAGGAGCCAAAAACCCCCAAAAACGGCACCGGCGGGGGCGGGGGGGAGGTTTGGGGGAGATTTTGGGAGATTTGGGTTTGAGGGAGTTTTGGGGCAATTTGGGAGAGATTTGGGGTCATGGGGAGATGTGGGGGAGTTTTGGGGGGATTTGGGCGGGTTTGGGGAGATCTGTTGTGGTCATGGGGAGATTTCAGAGAATTTGGAGGAGTTTTGGGGTTTTTTGTGGTTCTGGGGAGGGTTTTGGGGGGAATTCTGGGGTTTTTTTGGGGATCCTGGGGGAATTTTGGTGTTTTTTGGGATGGGGTCCCCACACTGACCCCTCCCCCCTCACTGACCCCTCCCCCACCCCCTGGCCCCTCCCCCAGAGCACTGGGAGCTCCACCCCGACACCGCGGCCTTGGCGGCCATGACGGGGGGAGGGGCGGCCACCCCTCCCCCGCCCGGGGACGGCTCCACCTCCGAGGACGAGGAGGGGGAGGGCTCAGACCAAGCCACGCCCCCTCCCAGCCCCACCCCCAACCCCTTTGCCTTGCTGGGAGAGGACGAGTGCTGAGCCCCGCCCCCTCCCGGGGCAGCGGCCAATCAGAGCACGGTGGGTTATCGCATCGCCATATATGGAATAAAGCCTGGTTTATTTCTGCAGAGCTGATTGGCTGCTCGGGGCCGGGCGGGGACCAATCAGAGCGCAGGGGCGGGGCCTGTGGAGTGACATAATTGTCAGGGCATGCCATTTCCCTTATTTGGCATCCATTCTACCCCAGTGGCCACGCCCACATCTCTTAATTTGCATTTAGCCTCATCCACATGTCCTTATTTGGCTTTAGCCACACCCACATTTCCTTATCTGGCCCCACCCACATTCCCTTATTCGGTTTAGCCACGCCCACACACCATATTTGGCTTGGCCACCCACAATTCCTTATTTGCATTTGACTCCTCCCACATGCCCTTATTTGGCCTTGGCCCCACCCACATTTCCTTATATGGCAGTAGCCACACCCACCACCCCACCATGTTTACATCAGCCCCGCCCTTATTTCCTTTGGCTCCACCCCTTCTGAAGCCCCTCCCACATTCCCTTATTTGGATTTGTGCCCTGACCCGTGGGTGTGTCCTGTGTGGGTGGGCGTGGCTCGGGTGGGCGTGGCTCAGGTGTGCACAGGTAACGCCGGCAGCGGCCGCAGCAGAGGCAGCGCAGGACTAGGCGGGGCTGGCCACGCCCTGGGGTGGGGCAGGGGGAGGAGTCAGGCATGGCCACGCCCCCAAAGCCCCTCTTAAAATCCCCCCAAAAATCTCCCCAAAAATCCTCACAAAAACCTCCCCAACCCTCCCCAAAAATCAACTTCAAATTTTCCCTAAATCCCCCCAAAATGTCCCAAAAAACGCCCCAAAATCCCCCAGAGCCCCCAAATCCCTTCTAAAACACCCCCAAAACTTTCCCCAATTCCCAAAATCCTCCCAAAATCCCCCATTCCCCAATTCCCGCTTCCCAAAATCCCAAACTCCCGAATTTTCCCCAAATTTCAAGCCCCGAACTCCCAAACTCCCCCCAAAATCCCAAATTTCCCCCTGTTCCACCTCCCAAACTCCCAAATTCCCTCTGAATTCCCCCCCAAATTCCCAAATTTCTCCCCAAATTCCCAAATTTCTCCCCAAATTCCACCCCCCAAACTCCCAAATTTTCCCCGAAATTCCCGAATTTTCCCAAATTTCCCCTCCCAAACTCCCGAATTCCCCCCGAATTCCCGGATTCTCCCCAGTTCCACCTCGCAGCCTCAGCCCGGCCCCGGCCCCGGGCACCAGGAGGGAGCAGCAGCGGCGGCAGAGACGGCGTTTGACAGAGGGGGCCCTGGGGGGGCAAAATCACCCCAAAATCACCTGAAATCACCCTGAAATAACCCAAAATCACCCGAAATAACCCCAAAATCACCCCAAATCACCCTGAAATAACCCAAAATCACCCCAAATCACCCTGAAATCACCCCAAAATCACCCAAAATCACCCCAAAATCACCTGAAATCACCCCGAAATCACCCTGAAATAACCCAAAATCACCCGAAATAACCCCAAAATCACCCCAAATCACCCTGAAATAACCCAAAATCACCCAAAATCACCCCAAATCACCCCAAAATCACCCTGAAATAACCCAAAATCACCCCAAATCACTCCAAATCACCCCAAAATCACCCTGAAATAACCCAAAACATCCCAAAATACCCCAAAATCACCTGAAATCACCCAAAACATCCCAAAATCACCCAAAATACCCTGAAGTCACCCAAAAACACTCCAAAAACACCTCAAATACCCCAAAATCACCCAAAAATCCCCTGAAATAACCCAAAACATCCCGAAATCACCCAAAATCACCCCAAAATCTCCCGGACATAACCCAAAACATCCCAAAATCAACTGAAATCACCCCAAAATCACCCCAAAATCACCCCTAAATCACCCTGAAACAACCACAAACATCCCAAAATCACCTGAAATCACCCCGAAATCATCCCCAAACACCCTAAAATACCCCAAAACACCCCACAATCCCCCTGAAATCACCCCAAAATCCCCAAACCCCTCAAAAAAACCCCAAAATCCCCAAACTCCTCCCAAATTTTGTTCGCAGACCTCCTCCAAACCCTTCCGGACCCCCCCGAAATCCCCAAAATTTCCCAAAATTCCCAAAAATTCCCCCAAATTCCCCAAAATCCTCCCAAAAAACCCCAAAACCCCCCACAAAATCCCTGAAACCCCCCCAATTTTTTCCCCAGACCCTCCCGGGCCCCCCAAAATCCCCAAAAACTCCCAAAAGATCCCAAAATTCCCCCAAAAGCCTGCCAAAATTCACCCCCAAAAAATCCCCGAACCCCCCAAATTTATCCCCAGACCCTCCCAAACCCCCAAAACTTCCCAAAAAATTTCCAAAACCCACCCAAAACTTCCCCAAAAATTTCCCAAAATTCCCCCAAAATCCTCCCAAAATCCCCCAAAAAAACCCTGAAACCCACCCAATTTTTTCCCCAGACCCTCCCGGACCCCCCCCTCCCCCCCCCATCATTCCCAAAAATTCCCAAATTCCCCAAAATTCTCCCAAAATTCCGCACATGCGCAGGACGAGTCTCCGCGCCGCCGCCCTTTGGCTGCTGCACAGGAACCGCGCCAGGCCCGGGCTCCGCGGCAGCGCCCAATGCGCGGCCTGAGGGATTTGGGGACAGTTTGGGGGGGTCCCGGGGGGTCCCGGGGGGTCCTGAGGGGTCCGGGGGGGTTGGGGGATTTGGGGGATTTTTTTTTGATTTTTTGGGATTTTTTTGGGGGGTTTTTGGGGGATTTTTGAGGATTTTTTGGGATTTTTTTTGGTTTTTTGGGGGGATTTTTGAGGGATTTTTTGGGATTTTTTTTGTTTTTTTGGGGGGATTTTTGAGGGATTTGTTTGAGGATTTTTTGGGATTTTTTTTTGTTTTTTGGGGGGATTTTTGAGGGATTTTTTGGGATTTTTTTTGTTTTTTTGGGGGGATTTTTGAGGGATTTGTTTGAGGATTTTTTGGGATTTTTTTTTGTTTTTTGGGGGGATTTTTGAGGGATTTTTTGGGATTTTTTTTGTTTTTTTGGGGGGATTTTTGAGGGATTTGTTTGAGGATTTTTTGGGATTTTTTTTTGTTTTTTGGGGGGATTTTTGAGGGATTTTTTGGGATTTTTTTTGTTTTTTTGGGGGGATTTTTGAGGGATTTGTTTGAGGATTTTTTGGGATTTTTTTTTGTTTTTTGGGGGGATTTTTGAGGGATTTTTTGGGATTTTTTTTGTTTTTTTGGGGGGATTTTTGAGGGATTTGTTTGAGGATTTTTTGGGATTTTTTTTTGTTTTTTGGGGGGATTTTTGAGGGATTTTTTGGGATTTTTTTTGTTTTTTTGGGGGGATTTTTGAGGGATTTGTTTGAGGATTTTTTGGGATTTTTTTTTGTTTTTTGGGGGGATTTTTGAGGGATTTTTTGGGATTTTTTTTGTTTTTTTGGGGGGATTTTTGAGGGATTTGTTTGAGGATTTTTTGGGATTTTTTTTTGTTTTTTGGGGGGATTTTTGAGGGATTTTTTGGGATTTTTTTTGTTTTTTTGGGGGGATTTTTGAGGGATTTGTTTGAGGATTTTTTGGGATTTTTTTTTGTTTTTTGGGGGGATTTTTGAGGGATTTTTTGGGATTTTTTTTGTTTTTTTGGGGGGATTTTTGAGGGATTTGTTTGAGGATTTTTTGGGATTTTTTTTTGTTTTTTGGGGGGATTTTTGAGGGATTTTTTGGGATTTTTTTTGTTTTTTTGGGGGGATTTTTGAGGGATTTGTTTGAGGATTTTTTGGGATTTTTTTTTGTTTTTTGGGGGGATTTTTGAGGGATTTTTTGGGATTTTTTTTGTTTTTTTGGGGGGATTTTTGAGGGATTTGTTTGAGGATTTTTTGGGATTTTTTTTTGTTTTTTGGGGGGATTTTTGAGGGATTTTTTGGGATTTTTTTTGTTTTTTTGGGGGGATTTTTGAGGGATTTGTTTGAGGATTTTTTGGGATTTTTTTTTGTTTTTTGGGGGGATTTTTGAGGGATTTTTTGGGGATTTTTGATGATTCTTTTGGAATTTTTTGGGGATTTTTTAGGGGTTTTTTTTGGGGGGGATTATTTCGGGATTTTGGGGGGATTTCTTTGGGATTTTTGGGGGGAATTTTTGGGGGATTGTTTTAGGATTTTTGGGGGATTTTTCGGATTTTTTTTGAGTTTTTTTCAGGATTTTGGGGGATTTTTTTTAGGGTTTATTGGGGAATTTTTTTATTATTTTTTAGGGGTTTTTGGGGATTTTTTGGGATTTTTTGGGGATTTTTTGGGGGGATTTTTTGTGATTTTTTGGGGATTTTTGAGGGGATTTTTAGGGTTTTTTGGGGGATTTTTTTTTTATTATTATTTTGGGATTTTTTGGGGCGATTTTTTGAGGGTTTTTTTGGGATTTTTTTTTGACCCTCCCCAAAATCCCCTCAGGACCCCCCAGGACCCCTCAAAATCCCTCAGGATCCCCCAAAATCTCCTCAGGACCTTCCAGGACCCCCCAAAATCCCCCCCAAAATCCCTCAGGGCCTCCCAAAATCCCCCCAGGACCTTCCAGGACCCCCAAAATCCCCTCAGGACCCCCCAAAAATTCCCCTCAAAATCCCTCAGAACCTCCTAAAATCCCCTCGAGACCCTCCAGGACCCCCCAAAATCCCCCCGAACCCCCCCGGGCCCCTCCCCTCACCTGGAACAGGTAATTCAGCCTCTGCAGCGCCTCCCGGTCCCTCACGGGCGCCGCCATCTTCTCCCGCCTGGCCCCGCCCCTCGTGGGCGTGGCCCAGGCTCCCCATTGGTCAGCGCATCGAGGCGGCTTTACGTCACTTCCGGCGGAGAGAGGATGGGCGGGGCTTCTTCGGGGATAATTTTGGAGATCGAAATTCCCCGGGGGGACCCAAAAATCCACTCGGGACCCCCAAAAATC